TGAGATACTAGACTTCACTGAAATTAAAAATTTCTGTTCATCCAAAGACATTTTAAGAAAATAAAAATCAAAGTCATAGACTGGGAGCAGATATTCAGAATCCATGTATCTGACAAAGGACTTATATTCAAAGTATGCAAAGAATTCCTTCAATCTAATTTTAAAAAGGGCAAAAGACTGTAACAAGCCCTTCTCCAAAACAAGCCAAAAAAAGATCAATCAACTGTTCAATCTCATTAGCCATCAAGGAAATGCAAATTAAAACTAAAATGGGACACTATGACACTCAATACAAAGGCTAAAATAAAGACTGACATTATAAAAAAACAAAAAAAAAAAAAAAAGAAAAAAGAAAAAGAAAACACTGAAGTATCAAGTGGAGAAAACCAAAACTCTCATACTATGCTGACTGTCTACTGCTGTAACCACTTTGAAAAACTGTTGGCTGGGCGTGGTGGCTCACACCTGTAATCCTAGCACTTTGAGAGGCCGAGGCGGGAGGATCACCTGACCAACATGGAGAAACCCCATCTCTACTAACAATACAAAAAATTAGCTAGGCATGATTGTGCATGCCTATAATCCCAGGTACTAGGGATGCTGAGGCAGGAGAATAGCATGAACTGGGGAGGTAGAGGTTGCAGTGAGCTGAGATTGCACCATTGCACTCCAGCCTGAGCAACAAGAGTGCAACTCTGTCTCCAAAAAAAAAAAAAAGAAAAGAAAAAAACTGTTTGGCAGAATCTACAAGGCTAAACACACAATCACTGTAAAACCCAATAGTTCATTTCCTAGGTATATATCCAGAAAAATGAGTACATAGGTCACCTTCAATGTACTAGAATATTTATAACTCCTTTATTCTTAATATCCCAAATCTGAAAACAACCCAAATACCCTGTTCAAACAATAGCACACCACCTATAATTAAAGTACAAGAAATCACACACAACAGTTCATATTGTTCAGTTCTATTTACAGAAAATTAAGGAAGAGGCAAAACTAATATATAGCGACATCAAAATAGTGGTTACTTGAGGAGGCAGTATTTTCTGCAAAGGGGCATGATGGAGCATTCTGGAGAGCTGGACTCTTCCGTATCTTGATCTAAGTCATGGCTATATGCAGGTATGCATTTCAAAAGCTCCACTGAGCTGTATACCTAAGACCTCTGCACTTTGCTGTATGTATATCACACCTCAATGGAAATATGTAAATGTGCTTCGTTACATTTTTTAAAAGCCTCCAAGTGAACTTTACCTAAAGGTATATCAGTAACAGCGGCAATACCCTTCAATTCCTCTTCAAAAGGGCCAGGAAAGTTGCCAAGTAGGCCAGGCTGGAAAACAAATAAATTAATAAGCATTTAACCTAAAAAGCAAGTTTTGAAATCTAGTTCTTTGACATATAATTTGTTCTACATGTTGCTATCACAGTAAGTGATAGGAGTTATTTTTTAAAGCATTTTTACATCATGTATTTATAAAAAGATTCTATGAAACACTCAATACTGGGACCCTATAAGGAGGCCTGATTCTCAGATTGTTTTTCCTGCCTTATTTTTCCACCATTCTCAAGAGAAGGCAGGAGCTAGAGTAGTTTCACCTGGATGACCTAACATGACCCACAACACAAAACATCATAACAAGCGCTCTTTATCTCTCTGTGCAAATTCACCCTCTAGCCATTGGCATATACCCTTGTTACCATTTTCTTCCCACACTCACGGAGATAAACCTGAATTATTCACAACCTTGTGTCATGGTTAATGGCTGATCTTGGGCTAAGATGAATTAACTGCATTCTATTAGCAAACCACACACACATTGAGCAAATTCAATGGTGGACATATATTTATTCTCAATGGCAACTACTAATGTCTAGATATAACTTATTTAAGTTCATGGCCTTTTGCTAAGATAATGTGCTTAAAATTCATGAGTCTCATTTTTTTAACCAATTATTATTTTTTTCCCCCTAGGAACTCAAAGCATTGCCCAAGTGGAATGTTCCAGCCATTTAACAAACAAATGTGACTTAATGGGTGTTTATTAAACACTTATTACATTTAGGCACTATGCTTAATAGACAGTGTGTCATCTAATCCTTACAACCACCGTATGAAATATATATTAGTATTATTTTCCCTGATGAGAAAACTGAGGTTTCATAGGTTAAGAAACTTGTCCCAAGACACACAGCTAGCATATGACTGATCCAGCCTTAAAATCCAATATTGTCTGATTCCAAGGTGTGGCACAAAAACACTTTGCAATGCTGCCCTCCCTGGTAAAATTCAGAGTAGAGGGGAGACTAGGGCATGTGGGGTACATGGAGACCTCAACCTCTTTTGCTCCTGCCAGAATTTTTTTTTTGAGGAAGTCCAGTAAGTATGAATGTAAAGGACAGCCTTAAACAAAAGCTCCGAGAGCATGAACATGATGGATAATGGGTTTGGTTGCTGGCAGGTACAAGTGACATAAAGACAATGTCCCCAGAGCACTCAGCTGCTAGGGCAATGATTCTCTATCGGGGCAGTTTTGCCCCTCAGGGGAGATTTGGCAATGTCTAAGGACATTTTTAGTTGTCACAACTGAGGGGGTGTTATCAGCATCCAGTGGGTAGGGGCCAGGGAGGCTGCTAACCATCCTGCAATGTAACCATCCTGCAGTGATGGTTAGCTGGATGGCTGCTAACCATCCAGCCCGGAAACAAAGAGATACCCACCCCAGGCCAGCCATCCTGCAATGTACAGGACAGCCCCGAGACAAAGAAATAGCCACCCCAGGCCAGCCATCCTGCAATGTACAGGACAGCCCCGAGACAAAGAGATAGCCACCCCAGGCCAGCCATCCTG